TTACATTGATCCTCATCAAGAAAATAATTTTGTGTGGCATTTGAATGTATTCACCAATGATTGTAAATTTCATGTTTGGGATGTCAATCAGCATTTATGTATCATACGCCGTTTGGGTTTGACTTTCAGGCGCTGTTCTTGTAACAAACTCGTGATATCCTTGAAACCGAAAAAAGATTCTACCTTTTTCAATGATTGTCGTAAAAAGTTATACAATATGGATAAAAGTTTCGAACATTTTCATCAGAAAACATTAGAAAATATGTACAAATGTTTACTAGGCACGGTATTGGAACAAGTACTAGCGGAAACACATGGCCAAAAATTTGCTTTTTTTGATAAATTAAAGTATAAATCAATCCTAGAAGATATACTGAACAGTAATACCGTACAAATTGCAATACAGGAAAACATATTATCCGAAATATATGAATTGGCATCGAAATTAAAACGAAAACATGCCAAGATAGTGGAAGAAATACAAGTTGATGAACGAAATTCTGCTGCACCAAGCGAAAATGAAATGCAGAATCATTCAATACTTCTATGTTGGGACATAGATGAAACCATATTGAAGAGAACACAAAATGACGCATTAGAATGTAAACCGACTCTGAACAAGTTGCATCAATATGAATCTATAATTGATGAGATACGAAACGCAATACTAGTTGATTTACATGATCTATTTATGGATGAAATCCAAATATTCGTTTATAGACAAGAAGAAATACGGACATTAATAAATAGTCTGTCATTTAATCGAGAAAAAACAGACAACAGCATTAAAATCAAAGAAAACACAAAAAATATATTCGATTTCAAAACATTGATCACTATCAAAAATCTAATATAAATATGCAATAACACATTAAATTCGATATTAGATTAGCATTTTAATCGAAAATGTAAAAACGAACTTTATAGTAGCATTTAAATTTACATTAAATTGGAATCTTTTCCTTTTGTATAGCAAGAATAAAAGAGCGTCGCTAAATTATTTATGATTCTGTGCATTCAGTTACTTATGTAGTGGAAAATTTTCTAAATGAAAAGTTCTATTTGAATAAATGCAACAAAAATCTGTCGGAGTAGTTTATCTCTTTGAATCAAAATAAACCGAGCTTCTTACTATTTTAAATTTTAGCTTGTATTCTAATTTCCATTTCGCTGATACACAATAGGAAAAATGTAGAGGGTGGGCTGTGGATTTGGATGAAGAGAAGACCCACATCCACACCTCAGAACAAGCACAAAAAAACATCACTTTAAATATTACCAAGTAGTATGTTAATGTATGCGTACTGTTAAAAAGAAATTCGATGGATTTCTTCTTCAAAATGTTATTCAATCGCAATGATGTCGAGCACATATGGGTGATGAATATAATTATCGAAGAACAGGTTATTAGGCATACTAGGATGGCATCGAAACGGCACTCATTCAAGTGTTGTAAAACCGTTAAACGTCATTTTGGATGCTAGTACATTAATTGTTAGACCGATAAAGTATTTTTCTTTCTTTCAATTGTGCGAAAAAATAACCCGTGCGATTCCAAGAAGTTCTCTCTTAATTCGAGCATAGTTCAAAGAGAGCCGGTTACTAGGTCAAATGACTGTACAGATGGAAATAAGTTTTTGGCATCCATAATCATGTATTCGATATCTCTTCATGGCTTTTAATCGACATATGTAATCACATCTCAAGTCCAGTCAGTAATCCTTTCTTGTCCACTACTCATGGATAGAGATATTTGAATACTATATAATCATTGTCAGCATCACAGTGATTCGCTTTTTTTCCATTCAGCATACTTCAAACTGGTACTATCAATTTGTGTCGAAGTGGCTGCCATTTTTGTCTAGGAAATCGACTACATCACAAATTTACTGTATTACGTCATTATAAAAACACAGTTGACGGGTGTAAGTTAAATTATAACAAAGGTAGAAGAATGCACAATCAGTCGTTTCCGAAAATGATGAAATGTGGATAAGATCATTTTTCATCTCCAACTATTTTTGGCAAAAAACCAGCTAGATATATGTAGTAAGTCAACCATGTGGTACACTTTGTACGGCTCAGTTTTACTAACGTTATCAATAGAATTTTTTCGATCCGGGATTCTTCTACCCATGAGAATCGAGGATGGTCGTAGGTGTGAACGAAGTGGTTGTCACTGGGTATGAATGTTTTTGTGTATATACTATTTCTGTTCATCCGATTCACTCTTTCGAGAAACCCTATCTTGAAAAAACCCTAGGTTTTTTTAGGTAGCACTCTTGCCAGTTTATCTTGTTTATTAATCAATTCTTTATATTTATATTTGATGTGGAATAAATAATAAACTGTGATGATTTAAAATGAGCAAAAGAGAAAAAAACGAACTTTTTCTCCTTTTTTTCCTACACGATATGTTCGATCCGGCTAAAATTTTTTTTAATGAGGACTAGTACCGTTAAAAAAAAGTTTTTTGGTAGTGCTTCCAGTATTTTGCTTCTCCTGAGCTCTAGAAACGATATTTTTGAAAGAAAAAAAACACGCATTCTGATTTTGATTCTAATTGTCATAAAAAAATCTCAGCACGAAAAAAGTGCAATATAGAGTTTTGCAGGGTGAAAAACTTTCGGTCATTTTTGGTCTTAGTGATCTCCATATCTTCTTGAAGGAAGGATCTGGAAACTTTGAGTCTCTGACAATTTTTGCTTTGCTTATCAAGATCTATTTATCTTGAAAGTTTCATCATTTTTTGCCGAGCCGTTAGCGAGAAACCCTGACAAGGGGTAGAATCGCCTTAAATGAATTTTTATTATAAACGTTAAATTTAAATAGTAAATAGACATCGATTCTCTAACTCCGAAAGTCAAGAAATAATTTTATTACAGGTCATATGTAATTAAAATATTTTGAAATGTACAGTGTCCCACAAGTAAGTGAATTCGATCTATTCCTGATCAATCTAAATAACCGTTAAACTTAAACGATTATTATTAGAGTATGTGGAGTCAAACTTCTTGCCTCCGAAAATATTGGTTCCTACAGGTCCGATGCAAGACTTTAATCATGATACTTAAAAATAATTCCTTCTATTAACATGGACATTTTCGTTTTAGAGAAATATATCCAATTAATGTTATGCTTATAACAGATAGAAGTGAAGTACGTTTTATTTTGAATTATTATTTTAAATTAAAATTTAATTTTCTAACCATCAAATTTGATTATGGGAAATGCAAATCCCACAAAAAATTCTAATGATATAATTAGTCAATCTTCTCGTTGTTCAAGTCAGTCAACAACAACACATACAGATGATGATCAATATGAAGTTATAAATCAATTATCATCAAATAATAGTCAAACATCTACGAAAATAAAAGCAACATCGAGTTCTGAAATGGTTTCATCAGTAACATTACTTTAAACTTCACCATCATCAACATCTTCAAGTGATGAAGAGGAATCTTCTCAAGAACAAACAGTATTAAATGTTGAAGATTCAAAAATCCACCAATTATTCAAGAATCTGGTCGATTTGAACCTGTCGAAATGGCAGTTGAACAAGCATATTTATTAGAAGAAGCCAGTACAACTGCTTGATTTTCTATCTATTCCAGTAATCGCCTGCACATGTATATACATTACCATAGTTTTCCTTTTTTTCATCTATAAATATTTCTTTTTTTTGTAATTACAAATAACCGTGTCAATTTAGTGATATAATATCGTTGTTTTCGTCTTTTTTTCTTCTTATTTCTCATTATACTCGCGATTATAATTTTACATCAAAAGAGTGAAAATTGCTCATAAAAAAAAAAGAAAAATATTTGAATCAAGGTAAAAATCTTATCTTTTGAATTTAACTTCAAAACAAAGTTTATTCTTATCAGACGAGATATAAATTTGTTACTGCTTTGTAATAATATTGATAATAAAAAACTTATTATAGTCATCATGTCGACATCATTTGACGCAATTAATGCTGCTAATCGTCGTTATGAAGAACTTTTTAATGCTGGTAAACTTGATGAATTAGTTAATCTTTATACATCCGAAGGAAAAGTTTTACCATCTGATAAAAATAAATATGAAGGACGTGAACAAATTAAAAAATTTTTGCAAGCTGCACGAGATGCTGGTATGGATAACTTACAGTTAACAACAGAAACTATTTTAGAAGCAGGAAATGATCGATTAATTGAAACAGGTTCATACCAACATTCATTAGGTAAAGGAAATTATCAAGTTATATGGAAACGTACTTCTGAAGGAAAAAATGAATGGCAATTAGAAATTGATATTTTTAATTAAATTTATTTTTTATTTTTACTTTCAAAATAAAATTTTCCTATTGATCTATTCAGAAGACTCTTTCTCTTCAAGACAATGAATAGAATTCTAGATACTAATCGTATAGAGACCGTGTCGACTTATTTCACACTAGAACGAATTT